GTTTCAACACTCAGAGAAGATTCAGAGCTAATAATAGCAAAGCGTGGAGAGACGTCAGACAATCGTCACGCAGGAGATGCTGCAGATCTTACAGATGCTTCAGACAACACATGGCAGCTGTGATAGCGTTTGTATTTTGGCTGTGTGCGGTTTGACAGGACCGAACTTAGCTCACGAAATCTGTTTTGAGAACAACCTCTTACAACATTCTTACAATCTTAACACTCTCTGGGTTTTTTGCATTTCATTTCTACAGTGTCTGATGTAAACTTCATTACCAAAACCGACAATATAAATACAATGAAAATGTTTTTTAAAAACTTTTAAAATATTTTGTATGCATTTTCTGAATACATTTACATTTTCTGAATATACAAATAGCATAAACGACAATATAAAGCCAATGAAAATGTACGTTATTTCAAAATATTTTGTCTATTTTCTGAATACATATTTATTTTAAAAGATTCTGACCTTTTTTTTAAGTTTGTTGGCATTTTATGAATATATTCACATTTTCTGAATATACTACTAGCATAAATTACTATACACTTCATCTGTTTCAAAAGATTTTGTTTGTATTTTCTGAAAATATTTACATTTTCTGAATATGTTAATAGCAAAAACCACAACATAAAAACGATGAAAACTATATAAAAAAAAGATAAATATGTATTTTAAAAAACATAACATTTTGGCAGCTTTTTCTATAAAAAATAAATAAATGTAAAAAAAAATCTGAATACATTTACATTTTCTGAATATACTAACAGCAAACATGGCTACATAAAAACAATAAAACCTTCAACAGGAAAAAAAAAACAACAATATAAAAATGATGAAAATGTGTATTTAAAAAATGTGGTATTTTTTTCTGAACACGTTTACATTTTCTGAATATACTAATATAGCAATAATTACAATAAAAACACGATGAAAATGTGTATTTAAAAACATTACATGAACATTTTCATTCTTCTGAATATACTAACTGTGACAAAAGACAAAAGACTAAATATTGAGATGTAGGGGTGTGCGCTATATATAGTCTGCGATAACATCGTAATTGTTGTTTTAACGATGTGCGATTTG